AATTGATTGATATGATTGCGATTTAAATCAGCATATACTTCTGTCAGGGGATGCCACCCCTCAAAATCTCCTGCCACCCTCTTGCCACCCCATGAATATTTGTCTAGATCCGCCCCTGCGTGGTATATGTCTCGTCTGACCATGCGTCTGACAGGGGTGCAGTTCTGACGGAGAGCACCAGAACGTCGCCCCTGCACTTCCAAAAATTGCAGTACCGATAAGGAGCCGTACACATGCTGCAGTTTTTGCGTGGCTGTGTCTTTAGTTGAAAGCCCAGTGGCGATCTGTTCATCTGTCATACTGATCATACAGTCAATAACTTTGTTGTTATTAGCATCTGGTTAGCTAGCTATGCTAACAAATATAAGAAGCTTTTTCTACAACCAGTGAGGTAAAGGCACATCTTTATATGATCATTTATAGTTATACAAAAATAAGAGAATAAAGTAAACAGGTATAAAATACTATATGATGGTAACAAAAAGTTGTTATTAATAAACAAGAATACAGTTTGAAAGGGGAGTGATTTGTAAAATATCCATTAAAAAAAAGAAATCTGCTTACAGTTCTGTTTCATATGGGTGTTGAGAAATATATCCATAGATCTCTTAATGTTGCTCTGAAAGTGCACAAATCTTCATGTCCACATGAATAGGAAACTAAATACATTTGCACACATCTTGTGTCCATATCTTTCTGTTTGGGTGGTCATGCCACAACCGTGCATGTGCGAGTCATGGTAAAATATCTGGATTAAAAGGTTGCTTTTTCTTTGCACAGCATGAAAGAAAGGTGAAATGAATGGGCTGTGATTTTAGTATTTTTAAGCAGAGGTCAATCATTTGTACGGCCCTCGGAGGATGTTGAAAACATTGAAATGGCCCTTGAGAGGAAAAAGGTTCCCCACCCCTGATTTATATATACAGTCTATGTGGTAATAACCGGAGAAGCATGACATGGGACGTTTAATCTATTTAGGAAATATTTATTAATTGAATGTATTGTATTAAATAATACTTTAATATACGTTTTTATTGAATTCAATATATATATAAAATGTACTTTAATTGATACAAAAATACATTTTATTGACTTGGATTTAGTATTTAGTATTGACTTTATAGATGTTTATAGTTTAATATACGCTTTATATTGTGTTGAATGTTTGATTGATTGACCTCAGAAAACATATAAAAATAAGACTCTTCAGTCTGTCTCATTCCTGAAGTATTGATTTTAGTTAGCATGTTGTTAGAGCAGCTGCAGCTGTTATTATCAATAATATAAATAACTGTTAGCAATAAACACATTAGAGAGATGAGTCTGAGGCAGTGCTGGAATTGGGCCGGTACTCACCGGTACGCAGTACCGGCACTTCTGGTTCTGACCCATGGAGTACCGGCACTTCTTGCTCAGTACCGGCATGCTGGCGGTACTCCGGTACTCATGCACCGTGCCAGTACTCAACACTCTCCCGCCGTTCTTATTATACATCCATATATATATATACAGCCGCCCGGTACTCAGTAGATGCGTCATGAGGTGCCGAACGGACATTCTCATCGCTCTAACCGCTGGAGTTTCACAGCGGCTGTCAGCTGTTTACTCCTGTCATTCAAACAGAACGTGCTGGAGAGGGGGCGGGGCTTATATTATCCATGTAAATACTGTGGTGGAAACGACTATGTCAAAATTAACCTATTTGACCGTGATTTAATAGTAATACACGTTTCAAAATAATAATAATAATAATGCCGAAGTAACAACATACTGAAAACTGTAGTAAAACCATGTTTTAATGCTTTACAATTTACATACCTAGATGCACGTGTGTTGTGTTTATGCAGTGCAACTCCCACCCAGTGGGTGGCTATGTAGAGTGATAGAACAGAGCAGGCACGCCCCCGAGAGAAGGAAAGCAAGTCACGTCACAAATTAGCATTTCTAAAATGTTAGCGTGGATTAATAAAAGTGCAAAAAGACAGCGGTTGTCGCCGGAAGAAACTTCAAATACAGAGAATGCTGTGCCTGTGTTGGAAATTGTGTCTGATGGGGAGCTTTCTTTGGTTGATCCTCCTGCTCCAAGTTCTAGTGCATTAGCATTAGCACTAGCTCCGCCGCCTCCTCCAGAGCCTCTAACGTTAGCTGCTGCTGGCGCAACTGCCACCACCAACACCGGGCAAAGCGATGCACCTGACTGCTGGACAACGGACCAGGTGCAATATTTTTGCAAGACCAATGCATGGCTCCTTCTTAAAGATAAGAAGCTAGGATGTCGGATATGCAGAGATGTCAAATCTTTGGGAATACACACTGGACAAGGACTGAAACTGTCAACTGAATGGGGTGAGTGTGCAGTGTCTCATTTCGGTGTTGACAAGGGCAAACAACAAGCTAGCCTGAGAAAAAAAATCAAAGAACATAAAGAATCACAAGCCCATGTAAAAGCTGCTGACATCCTTACATCTGCTTCACGTGAAACTATTCAACATCAAGTGCAGTCTATGCATACATCTGAATTAGACACCACTATCAGAGTTTTTCGAACGGCATATAAAATTGGCAAACATAGCCGGCCATTCACAGACATGCCAATTGATTTGAATGTACAGAAACTGAATGGGCTGAACGTGGGCAGGGTTTTGCACTCCAATAAAACTTGTGGCGAAATCATCGACCACATAGCTCATGAGCTGAAGAAAAAAATGGCAAAAGACATTACAGAAAACCAAAGAAAACTCTGTGTTTTGGTCGATGAATCTACCACTATTAGTGGTAAAACGGTGCTTGTTGTGTGTCTACGCTCAGCATTAGCTGATGCTGAGCCCGAAACGTTTTTTTGGGAGCTGATCGAGTTGGATGGAACAACGGCTGATGACATCACAAAGGCGTTAATGGAGTGTCTTGGAAGAGATTTTAACGAGGACTTTTTAGGTCAGTGTTTCGTTTCTTTTGCATGTGATGGGGCTTCAGTCATGCTAGGGAAGAGAACAGGCGTTGCTACCCAGTTGTGTAGTAAATTCCCAAGCCTGTTTGTGTGGCACTGCTCCAATCATCGTCTAGAGCTGGCAGTTGGGGATGTGGTCAAGGAGGTCTCAGGGATCAATCATTTCCAGATCTTTTTTGACAAAACTCTATTCCTTGTTCCATGCCTCCCCCAAAAATCAGAGGCAGTTAGCGCAGTGTGCGCAAGCAGTCGGACAGCGTCTCCTGGTGATAGGGCGTGTTTTGTCCATCCGCTGGGTGGCTTCAAGTGAAAGGAGCGTCAGAGCAGTCTGGGAAAACTACCGAGTGCTTCATGATCACTTCACAAATGCTGCAAACGACACGAGCAGGGGATTCCAGAGACAGAGCAAAGTACAAGGGCCTGGATGATGTGCTCACATCTGCAACGTTTGTCAGCAATCTGGGACTGATGTACGATGCGCTCACAGAGCTCAGCGACCTCTCTCGGCAACTCCAAAAAAGAGAGATGACACTGCCTACAGCAGATAGGCTCTTAACTCGAGAAATACGAGTTTTTGAATCCATGGTCACCATGCCTGGCCCACACATGACTACAGTTCATACAGCTCTAGCTGAGAAGTCCTTCAAGGGTGTTGCCCTGCGTGAGAATGGCAGGCTTGTACAGATTCATGCAGGTCAGTTTTTCCGCAGTATGGTAGAGAATCTGAGACACAGAATGACTTCCACAACCTCCTCTCATGTCAGCACAAGAGAAATCCCATTACATGGCCGGGAGGCCCGGGACAATCAGCTAATCCAGGACATGAAAGTTATCCATCCTGGAAGTTGGCCTGAAAAGGAGTTAGACGTACAGTATGGGGACGTAGAGGTGCTACGTTTGTGCGAAGTGCTGAAAGTGGACAGAAGAGAGACTGTTCAGGGCTTTCGCGAATACAAGGAAACCAGGGCATCCCGTACACCTGCTGCCATGGAGCCTCTACTGAAAGCAGTCCGAACCATCGCTGTCTCCACTAGTGAGTGTGAGCGGGCATTCAGCTGCATGAACGATATCCTTACTGCAAAAAGGAATGCTCTCTCTGTCAGCCGACTGTCCAGCCTGGTTTTCATTAAATGTAATGGACCATCACTAGGACAGTTCAATCCGGAACCGTATGTGAGGTCCTGGCTGGCAAAGGGAAGGAGAAGTGCTGATGAAAGAGCCTGTCCAGCTCCAGCCCCTGATACTGATGTCACCAAGGCCTTCTGGAGCCTTTTCTAACAATGTGAAGTATATTGCAAAGCAGCTCACCCAGTGAGAAGACTTTTGGCATAATGTGCCGATTTGTACAGATCCTGGAGATAGAAGGACTTCAGACCAACCAGGGAGTTATCTGATCAGCTTGGTGTTCAATGTAACTCTTTACCATGGCTCAGACTTTGTTACTTGCAGTTACAGTTTCTCATTTTAGATTGTGCAAATTTTGCATTTGTTTTTACATGTTCTTTGTTCATGCTCTTTATCATTTTTCTGAGTTGGAAAGTTAGATTGCATCATAGTTTACTTTATACATATTTGTATTCTTCAGTGGTGAAGTATATTGCAAAGCAGCTCAGCCATGTGAGAAGACTTTTGGCACTTTTTCGTTTTTCGTTTTCTGAGTTGGAAAGTTAGATTGCATTCAAAATGTACAGAAATACTTAATTTTGTTAAAGCTTTTTATAAAAAATGCTTCTGACCAGAGCTTTGTTTCCTTGTCATTAATGTTGAACACCACCAGAGGGGCTCTCACCTGAAAGGTCTCTGCTTCATGTGTCTGCCTATCATAAAAAATGTTAAGTACAGTGAACCTTTCTAAAATATACAGTAGTAAAGAGACAAATCCACCAGCATTATAGTAGCCAAATTCTTGTTTGTGGGCTGTATATATAAAATTGACTTGAAAAAGTTGCTGATTTTAGAGTACTGGCACCTTTTTCATTCCAATTCAAGCACTGGTCTGAGGTGAGAGCAGGGATCAGCTGAGAGTCATTTCACTCTGAAAACGGTCACTTACCACGAGGAGGAAAACTTCTGCGTCACAACGGGAACAAAGTGAAAGTAACTTCTGACAGGAAGTCCCCACAGAGAACAGGAAGGGAGAGAAGTTGATGTAAATCCACAGTGTTACCTTTTTACTATTAACGGTATCTCGGTACCGAAACCATAGTTTCAAATACACACCGGTGGTTTCTGACTTGGCTCGTTGTCAGCCGGTAACCAGCTGCCCAGACATTTCGAGGGGGAAAAGGATGGAAACGAGGCGTTCGTGTGCCGTGGGAAGAACCTCCGTTTATTCACGTTCTTCAAGCTATATTGACACTGTATTCCATACATACAGACTAGATACTATTCATTTTCTGACCACTTTCTCTATACTTTCGTCTCTCTCTCCATAACTCCGCACTTCGGCTTGGTCATCACATTTGACACACACACAGACTCCAAAACCCCACAACCCCTTGCGGCTGCTACTCTTAAAGTGACAGGCCAAGCCTGTAACACTACCCCCACTCTGGATGATGATAAAACAACCTTTAACATCACTTCAGCATATATACATTATAAAAGGAAACCATGAAACATTAATGGCAACACATTCCCCACAATAATCCCCATTTCCCACAGTCCTTGAAGGAGTCTTCCTTGCTGTGGAAACAGCTTGAATCATGAGGCAATGTCCATACAAATGTCCACGAAGCATACTGCATAGATCCTTCTTTTTTTTGTAACGTTTCAAAGGTGTATAAACACACATACTGATGTACATAACATACTGTGATGTAGTTAATCAACCCGGTTAAGTTCAACACTGTGTGACTTCACTCTATATGATGTGGAAATTGATGTAAAGTATTATGCAGAAAATGTGATGCGGCATATTTTTGGTATATTCATTTTAATGTCACCAAGAGGTGTATTGCATCATGTTATCCCTAATATATGTGTGGGTTTATACATTCCTGTGTGTTAATAGTTGAAGGAACAAAGTACATTTTTCCTCTTAAATATAGAGAGGTTTTTTATAGATTCCTGAATAGTTCCCTTTTTCTTAAAAGTAGATTAGCGCAATAGTCTTTTTCTTTCACTTTTACCCTTTTATCAAAAGGGTGTTTTTAGGCTATTTTTGAGGAGGTAAAATGCAGAATTACTTGTGAGTTCTGTTTTGAGTGAAAAGATTACCCCTTTGAGTGTTTTTCTTGGTTAACCATTAATAGGCTTTGCAAATTAACAAGAGAACTGCGAGGGACATTTTCCCCAGATATAATGGTTAAATTCTTCTTAAGTTAATGATGCGCATCCTGCAGGCCTTGAGAATTGAGTCACACAGTTAAGAGAGACAATGGTCCTTCTGATTCTGGGTAAGCTGACTTCGGGTGGATGGAAGTTCAGAGAGGGCCTGGGGGTATGAGGACAGTTAAGCTTTGTTGGTTAGCTGGTCCTGAGGAGGTCATGAGAGGATGACTGTTACATTCCCAACAAGTATGGCTTTCATAAAGAAAAACACATGACTATTGTGTGATAAGCTACATGATAAGATGTGTTTTGCTTCAAACTGAAACTGTTTGCGGGTTCTCTGCTGGCACACGCTGATTCACTGTGACACAGCATCTTTTGCATCTCCCAATGAGATGACCTGAAAAGATGACCAGCTGACCTAACTCCTCCTGTTTTATTCTTGTATGTAAGCCTGTTCGGCCTTGTGTCCGGTCTCTTTCCTGCTGCCGTCAAGACGATGAGGTTCTCCCGGCATTTGGACCAGAGCAGGGGGAGGGCTGACCCCTTTGAGAAGTGTATTGTATTATTACCGTTTATTATTAAAACAGATTATTGTTTAACCCTCGTCCTGGTTGTTTTGAGTTTTCCTTCTTTTAAAGCAGACTCATATAGGATCGGCGCGGAGAAGAGATAACTACTCCAACAATGATGTGGCTCTTAGGCATTACAAATGTCAAACAACAACAAGCAATCTTACCATCTGTTTGGTTTCTCTAACCAGTTACATCCTGCATCAAGTGTCAAAGCAGTAAAACAGTATCCACATTACTCATTACCACAGGCAACTAAATTAAATAGAACCACAAACTGTGGATGTATAACAATATAATTAAATAACTTTAGCTTAAGAGCATATAATTACTCTGGAACTCTTTATTTTTATTTTTATTTTACTGAGTTAGGAACTAACCTGCTGACACCCTGACTCAGGTTAAACTTGAACTAACCCTAGTGACTGACCCAGTCACCTAACATGTCAGGAGCTCTGCAGAGTCGCTGGGGTCTCTGTAGAGGGGTGGAAATCCGTAGGGGACCACTGGCCGGGGCCCTGGAAGGGCGCTGAGTCCGAGGAAGTCTGTCATGAAGCCAGCTGCTGCTCGGCGTAACTGGCAGTGAAGAACCTGGGTCCTCGAGGCTCTCCACAGCTGGATCCTCTGCGTCTGATGGGGAGTCCCACAGGTGGAGAGGCCCGATGACTGTGTCAGATGAGTTGAGGTCTGGCTGAGGGGCCGGCACCTCGACAGGCGCCCAGGCTTCTGTGTCTTTGAACACCCAGCTGTTGTCTAATTGGGTCCTGGAATAATAAGGCTTGAGCTTGTCATGGTGGACAACTTTGACTTTGGCTCTGGGGCTCTTTTTGAGTCTATAGATCAGGTCATCCAACATGCCTACAATGAAGTAAGGGCTCTCGTAGGATGGCAGAAACTTTCGTACCTTGTTTTTAACCCTTTTGGTGCCTTTAATTAGGTGCCAGACTGCATCTCCCACTTTGTGTTGGGTTTGATAAATGTTTTTGTCATACTGTCTTTTAGCTCGCTCAACAGATTTCCCAAGAGCTTCTCGTGCCAGCTGGTGAGACAGCTCCAGACGTTCTCTCAGTTTCATGACATATTGAGGGGGGGTGTTAGTGTCGATATTGTCATTGTCAGGTGGCAAACCAGCGACCAGGTCGACTGGCTCAGTGACTTCTTTTCCAAAAAGCATCATATTTGGTGTCAATCCGGTGGAGCTGTGTCGAGTTGCTCTATAAGCCATGAGTGCATAAGGCATCATGAGATCCCAGTCCCAGTGACATCTGTCTGCAGTGGTAGCCAGGATTTTCTGCAGAGTGGCATTACAGCGCTCTACCTGTCCATCAGACTGTGGGTGAAATGGGGTAGTACGAGTCTTGTCAATCCCCAGCAGCTCGCACATCCCCTGGAAAACAGCTGACTCAAAATGTGTGCCCTGGTCACTGTGCAAGCACTGGGGAGCTCCGTACCTACACACCCACTCAGAGGCGATCTTTTCTGCCACCGTGGATGCTTGCTGGTCTGGGATTGGATAGGCTTCTACCCACTTACTGAAGTAGTCTTGCACTACTAGTATGTAGCTATTGTGTCTCTCTGTTTCATTTAAAGGGCCCATCACATCAACTGCAATCCTCTCCATGGGGGCGCCGACTCGCACCGTGCCCATAGCCGCTCGAGGAGTTTTCTTCGGGCGAGCTTTAGCAGCACAGCTGGGGCAGGTGCGGCACCAGAGTGTGACATCGTCTTTCATGTTATACCAGAAATATCTGGTTTGCAGGCGTGTGAGAGTTCTTTCTACTCCAAAATGGCCTCCCACAGGACCATCATGCATCTGCTCCATCACTGAACTGCGGTACATATGAGGCAGCACGATCTGGGGGTAAAACGTTGTTCCTTCAGTGCTATAATATTTCCTCATTAGCACTCCATCTTTCTGGTAAAGTCTATTCCACTGTGCCCAGTATGATTTGGTAGCGGGGCTGAAGTGTGCTATGTCTGCATATGGTAGCCGCCCTCTCCCTTCATCCATCCACTTTTTTACTGGTGCAATGTCAGGGTCAGATTCCTGAGCCATTCTCAGCTGTTCTTGAGTCCAACCAGAGAATAAGCTGGTGTTGGGAATATCACTCACCCAGTTGATGCTTGGATTTAGCAGGTCATAGTTGTTATTGTTGTCACTGCAGGCATCCTCTACCCCCACTGGAGGAAACTCCGGCTCAGCTACCCCCACTGGAGGAAACTCTGGCTCAGCTACCCCCACTAGAGGTTGCTCTGTGTGAGTACATATGGCAACTTCAGCTGTACTGTCTGTCAGGTCACACTGGACCCCCTTATGCTGGTGTCGCTCGCTGTCATGCTCTGGCACTGTGCAGGGGCATGACTCCCTGCAGGGCCTCCTGGAAAGTGCGTCTGCATTTTGGTGGTGTCTCCCCGGTCGATGAGCCACCTGAAAATCATACTCTGCCAGCTTCTCTAGCCAGCGGGCCAGCTGTCCCTCTGGTTCTTTTAACCTGGTTAACCAGCGCAGGCTGCTGTGATCAGTCCGGAGAGTGAATGGTCTGCCAAGCAGGTATTGTCTGAAGTGACAGGCAAACTCCATGCCTGCCAGAAGTTCGCGTCTGGTGGTGCAATAGTTTTGTTCTGTGGCTGACAACCTCCTGCTTCCATAGGCTAGCACCCTCTCCTCACCCCCCTGGATTTGGGAGAGGACTGCTCCGATTCCCCAGTCACTAGCATCCCAGCTGCTGTTGCTGGGACGAGCTACACCAGACTCCAGGCTCTGCTGTACCTGCAGATCTGCAGCAATCTGTTTGTCTCTGGCCATTCTGCGTGGCGGCTGCTTCACAGGCTGCCCAGGAGTAGTCTGTATGTCGTGCTGCACTAAGCTGGTGCGGCCAAGGTCAGTGGGCCCGGTGGAGAAGACATCACCGAACCTCCGTAGCACGTGAGCTAGCCCGGCTCTGTCCTCCTCAGACAGGTGAGCACAGCTCTCTGCATACATGTCCTGTAGATGACTGGGCACAGATATAACAGGAAAGTCATTGGGGTCTGATGTTACTGGGGACTTGGTCGGATGGAGATCCACTTCTCCCAACACCTCAGCTGGCTGAAGAACTCTGACCACCAACCCTCTCTCCAGAGTAACAGATGCAGGACCAGGATTGTAAATCCGCATGGGAATGTTGGAGGAATGCCGGGTGTGTACAACAACGCGGGCTGCCAGGACGTGCTGTCTCTCAATGAAGCCTTTAGTGGGGGTCAGCATCATATCTTTATTAACAGCAGAGCGAAGGCGGGCAGTACCAGGCACCACATACTCACACCCCGACTCCAATACTGTTGTGCGGGATACCCTGACCTGGTGCACTTCAGGCTGTCTGCTGGGTTTTGAGCGAGGCACTCTCTCACCGAAGAGGGTGATTTCCCTGCGACCATAGTCCAAGTGAGCATGTGACTGCAGCAGAAAAGGGTGCCCCAGGATAACCTCTGTATTTTCAGCTGTGTCTGCCATAATAAAGTTCACATTGGTTACCTTGCTTCCGGCTTGAACTGGCAGGTTGACTTCCCCTCGGACAGCGATGCCCTCAGGACCGATGCCTTGTAACACTTGTACGATGGATGGCTGGATTTGAGGCCTCGATTCAACAGGAATG